TCGCTGGAGCGTCGAAAAGCAACTCAGGAGATTGCTGAAACTTTAAATTTGTTTGACGCGGCCGTTCATAAGCACATAAAACGGCAAAGATTAATTATGAAGCTTCACATAACTCAAAGTTGCTCTGTATTATTAACAACTGTGATTTGATTATCAAATATTTGAAACGTTAAACGTTGAAACTTGAAAAGGAATCTCAGAAAATCCATCAGAACTATTAGAACAGCCWTGACGGTCTGATAAAGTCAAGCTATATATGTATGTATATATAACATATAAAAGACAAAGTTAACGAATTTTTGAATGAAAAACAGATTTTGTTTATTTTCAACATATCATATCACTGGCCGCTAAGGAGCATAAAGTACAGTAAAATGCATTTTAAGCTATTAACTTATATTTTTGAATTGTTCTAAGGTAATATTTATTAACGATTCTTTTTRAAATAAATATAGAATATTTCTATTTTAACCGCTTCTTTAATTTCTAAGAAATTACTTAATAATGAAGCCAGTATGGCAAAAAAAWTWAAAWWAAAAAAAAAACAGAATATAAATTCAACACTTACCTATAATTTATTGGCTTCTATTTATTTAAGCTGTTTCAAATGTTATGAAACGAATTCATATGGAATTTTTAGTTTAACTCAACGCGCATAGGAATTGTATGCTGAAATGATACAAATAAGGAACATTTTATTAGAAATATTATATGTTTTGCATTATTTATTATTTCAAGAATGGTTGGTTATTATATAATATATGTATATTATACGAGTATACTCTAAAAAATCATTCATACTGATTTTATTTCTCTGAGTTATAAAATTCATAGGAAATAAATAATTTTTCCAAAAATAATCAAACTCTAACTGCTAATATCCTTTAAACGGTTGGGTTTACGAAAAAATCGTACAGACCTTTTTTGTAGAGCATTCAATTTCCTACAAAATCTAAGGAATAAGATATTTTTTCAAGTAGTTGGAGGCGAGATATAAAGCTTTCTATATGATAATAAGCAAAAATAGAAAATTGTAAGTAGGAGACCTTACCGTTACAATTAAGAACTCATTCTTGGAGAGGCTTCCTTAGAGGTGTCTAGGAACCAGAGTACCAAAAGACAAAAAAAAAATTTTTTTTTGAATCACCCTAATGTATGTATATGCAATAATCTCTTCAACTCTATTTTAAGCGCGTTACTACTATCTGAGGTATTATCACAGAACACTGGATTCTGTTTAATTTCACCTGAAAAAGATATGTAGAGTATAATTGATTGTGTAGGTTATGCGCAGAGAAAGTGGAAATGGAGGGAAAAAAAATGTAGTTCAAAAAAGTTATACTTTAAATTATTCATCAATATTTATTTTATCGCCTTTAAAGTAATCTTCACCAGATATAATACAYTTATGGCACCGATTTTTCTGTACTCGAAACAGTTTTCATAAACATTTTTTGGGATGACCTTCAGCTTCTTCAGTGAGTTTTGTTTTATCAACTGAAACGGGCTCCACGGAGCGACAGCTTTAATTTGACTAATAAGAAAAAATCACACGGAGCCAAATCTGGAGAATACGATGGTTGATCGATGATATTCATTGCGTTTTTGCCTTTAAATTCGGTCACAATCGTGGCTCGATGTGATGGTGGATTATCATGGTGTAAAATACATCAACCGTTCTTTCACCAGCCGTTTTCAACGGATTTAATTAAGCACTTCATCGTTTGGTTGTGAAACAGAGTTGAACTATAAAATCTGTTTAACCCACTTAGTTTGCGATTCCACACATCACAAACCAATACTTGAACCGATGAAACAACAAGCCTCATAAGCTTGGACTTCTGACTTTTGCGACAAAAACTCAAAGGTACATATGTATGTAAACTTTTCTATAAAACTTTATTAYATAGCTTAAAAAAATTGACCGTAATTTCCACGCAGATAATGCATTATGTATGTATACACCTACACATATGTATGTATGTACGTAGGTACGCATGCATACGCATTAAACACAGCCTGGCATAATTTTTCTGCTGTCAAATTTTGGCTTTATTTCGCTCGTAAGTCATCGGGCATTACTTGCATTATTTCACCTTGTTTTTTGCTCTCATTTCAGTCATGTGCAGTTGGCTGATATGACAAAAGTCTATTATACCAAATTTATGAGCATTTTGGTGACATTCAAGAAATTATGGAACTAAGCAGAAAGAAAAATAGTATAATATTTGGGGAAGCACAAGAAAACAAGGTAGATAATGTAAGAATGGATGAGCATGCATAAGTTTACTGGAAAAGACAGACGTGCCTTTGGTATATGTATGTATGTAAGTATGTAGATATTTGGATATACATATCTGAGTAGTTTAATATAAGATGCCCAAGGTTTAGCTAAGCATCAAACCCATCATTCTTACGGTGATGAACGGAATCAGTGACATTTTTACACTTGAAGGATTTGCAGCGGCACTTCGTGCACGGCAGATAAATTCGTTTTTGGATGGCAGCTAGCAGCTTTAGCTGGTTGTTGGTGTGGGTCAAGGCTTCACCATAAAGTCCAATAACTATTTACTTTGGAAAGAAAAAAATTAAAGCCGTACAGAGCGGTCTAATTATGAACACGATGAAGAAAAAAATCCTTTTCATTGTATACGCGACGCGATTCGACTCAATGTAATTCATAGCGAGTTAATGACGGTATCAAGAATTCCGTCATTATATGTACTACTGCCGCAAATTAGTTCAACAGTGGTAATCAGAGCGTATCCGGCTTTTTTCCCGGCCATGGAGGGTCAACTCGGCAACATTCGAAATTAGTTCAGGAATGTTTTCCGCCGCCATAAAAAACCAACTCAAATAACTTCAAAATAATGTAGTCGCCGACTGGAATGAAATCTAATATACGGTTGTAGAAGAAATTATGATATTACGCCTCCTCTATGTCAAATCKCGTGAGGATATATTTTCAATGAAAACAGTTTTCCATAGTCTTGAGTAAAAAAGCTCATATGCAAAAGTACAGATCTATATAAATCTCAAAAACTGGGCGACTAGGTCGCGTATGTACAGAGACACAGGGGGACATGGRGCCTGTCTTCATGGCCATGGTTCAACATGTAGGGATCAAGGCAACTGCTAAGACAGAAAGTTTACGTGTAAGCAAATATGGCTTATGTAATTACTCGTATAGGAGCAGGTAATCGGAGGATGGGCTCATGTGTAGAATTTCACGCAAGAAAATACGAAACTAAGCAGAAAGAAAAATAGAAACGATTCTGTTACATTGGTTCAAGCAGCTTATGTTTTCCATTAAAGGCGATTTATAATAAGAAGGCGAAAAATATCTCACCAGAGTTGTGCGCTGGGTTTGGAACCCGCCACGTTAAAAATACCCCCAATAAAAAGAAGAAAACATCCTTGGATGAGAAACCGTATTTTGATGATCTGTAAAAACATTAAGAATCTATGTACCTTGGAACCAACCATCAAAACCAACAACAACATTAGCCTCGAAATCCAACACAGAATAACTCTTGCCCCCCGGTTCTACTTCGAACTAGGTTGGCAAAGTGTCAGGTAACGACCTACACCACGACATTGTGGTTCCATAGACCAATATCAGTCTTATTTGACTTTTTGCCATATTGGACTTGTATGGGTGCCCRGTCACAGCGGSAKCGCCGGAAATTGCAAAGCCAATGAGATTGCAGCTCATGAGGTGTAAGCGAGTTGGTGTTCTAATGCGTTCTAGCACTGGACCTGTGGAAYTCCTATTCCCACAACAGCTAGTTCTACGATACCGAAATTAGCTCGGATTCATCCGTCCAAGGGTTGTTATTTCGAGGATCTTACCCTATTTAAATCGGTAAGTAAAAAGTTTTTCCTCCATTGCCCGACTTTTACCAGTCTGAGATTAATATATATCGGTAGAGCAGGCATTGCTGGACCGCATATCAAACTATCCATACTAATGGAACGTTTTCCGAGCATCTTTCAAGCAGAAGTATTTCCTACAAGTCAGTGCACAGAACTCAATCTCTACCGCAACTATCGCAAACACCATACTTAGCGTAAGTCAAGCGGCACTAAAGGCAATTTCAGGGTATGAGATTAAATCGCTTATAGTGGACCAGTGTATAGGAGGGCTGAACCGTCAATCAGTGTGCAACCGGTTACAACTAACCTGACTGCCTAGGCATAAAAGGGCATATTGGCAGCAGGCAGCAGTAATGCCGAGCTACTTCTAGGATGTTACAACCTCGGAAGGTTTAAGGAAATGATCAAATTCCGCGAGACAAATTTCGCCTACTTGTCGCGCTCTATACACTGTAGCACTGTAGGATCMGGAAGCACTTGTCCRACATGGGCATAGTCTCTTGCATAAACTGCCGGTTCTATCACACGGAGCAAGATACCCCAGAACACCTGATTTAGGATTGCCCAGCAATTTGCAGAAGCAGCAACAAGCCCCCTGTTCCATCTATGTGGGCAGTGATCACACCAACTCAGTCTCGCCCAGCAGGCTGCTGGAATTGTTCACGATGCTGGACCATGGTGACCATAYATGATATAGGGGAGGGCAMAATAGACCGTRGRTCGCAGTGCAAAATCTCATTTTTTTATTATTTATCTATCTATATATCTCGGTAGTCACACATTTGGAAAATCTAGCAAAGTGACTGAGATTGATATTAACCCCCCCCAATAAATTTGTGGTGAGCTCAGAACTTTCCGTCGATCCATGATATAGATTCTATGTTGTTCTATAACTTAGATTCTAAGAGGTAATGCACATAAAGGAACAAGTATAGGCAAAAATAACAAATATCTGTCCAACTGAGATTCACCGATTTTTAGATCAACCCTACGACCTTCTAAGATAACTTATGTATATCGGCTWAAATTATAAAGAAAAAAAAAAGACTTGACTATTCAGGTCGTAGCCAACATGTGAAGTGTTATTAGTGAGAAAAGACCAGTGGAATGACGTCAATAACCATTTATCTAATCTTCACCATCCTAACGAGGATTAGACACCTGTTACAACAACAACAACAACACAAAATACCAGGTATTTGGATAAAAGTTTCGTAAATTCTAACCAACAAGATGGTCGTAAGCAAAATATTTTAGTTTTTCTGTATTTAAATTTACTACAATATTTTTTCCTGTTTTCGAAGTCTTTCATATTTAATATTTTCAAAAGTGTCCGCTTACTTTGGCACACGCAGTGAAACAAAATCCCAAATTTAATTTTTTATAATCCTCACCTTCGGCAAATAGCACGACCTTAACCTTAAACACGAAAACTTTTAATGAGCAAAATTAAGTTAAAGCTTTTAAATAAAATTAACGCATAATGAAAAGTGTAGAGATTCAGAATACGAAATGTATGTGCACGGGTAGAAGCTGGTGGTGCTAATTTTGGACCGCAGCAATGGATACTTAAAACGCTTACAACAAAGTAAAATTTAACAAACAAACAAAAAAGTAAAATGCAACAACAAAAACACACATTTTTAATTAAGCACCACAGACGATGCCACAAATTGTTGAAGCTTTTAGCACACTCATGCATGCACGCTGCCATACACACACACAGACCCAGGCAGGCAGATGCATGGCTTAAGACAAGTGCTTATGAAGTAAGTTAAGCAATGGCAGCGGCG